GAGATGACGCTCCGCTCTTGCTTACCCCCTCGGGTATTGTTCCAATCTTAGGTCGGAGGAATCCTGTCTTGTCCGATCTTGAGGGAATCGACAGAAGTGGTCCGATCTTGAGGGAATCGACAGAAGTGGTCCGATCTTGTGCCTTGCTGGGGAGCGATGGAGACTGAACTGCCGGCTTCTGGTCGGGGGGATTTTATGCAGGCGGAGACGTCGGCAAGCGGAGAGTATGTAAGCATAGCCTAAAGATGAAGATGATAAGACATTCAAACGCAGAAAGTATGTAAATATAAAAAACTGATTAGCTAGAAGATAAGGAAAACTAAAGGAAATCTTTCTAACCATATATAAATCTTATTTAATCTCTTGTTGCAATTTGCAACACTCCCAGGGCGACCTTGGGGCTACTTTCTCGCCACTTGTTCCAGTTCGAGTTGGACATCTTGAATGGCCTGACGGATGCGATTCTTCGACTCCGGAACAGTGCATAGTGATCGATGATGACCGTCGTCTCTAGGGACGAGGAACCCTAGATTTTTCTTAATTGCAATGTCGCAGTACCAGCATAATTTGTTACGGTTGGGACAGTCTTCGGGGTTACAGTCGAACTTCAAGCAGTATTGGCATCTTCCCTCTTCTTGGCTTATACGGAACCGCTCGTTTCCGTCCACGACCTCTGGACATGAATCGGAAAAATGTTCATCTCTGACATAACAGAATGCGCAAACGCCGGGTTTCTTCGCCTTTTTCACGTCTCCCCGACGTGGTATCCAGCGGCCCAGTCGTCGTATAGGGAGGAGACGAAGTCCATCTTTGAGAACTTCGAGGTCCCTTTCGATTTCTCTTCGTGAACGTCTTGGCGGAACGTTGTGCCTTCCCTCACCATCTGCTCCTTGCTCCTCCTTATTATTTGCCTCTTCCGGTTGGGTATCTTCGTCATTGCCCGAAGATTCCAGAATTAGCCTCCACATGTACTCGTCGTCAGACATCACTTGGATTTTTGGATCCGACGCTACATCATCGGCGCTGTGCCTACGTTTTCCTTGCGACGTTGACTGAGGCTCCACGGTTGAGTGGGACTCCATTTTCTTGACCATGTCTTGCATCTGGTGTTCTAGCTGCTTCAGTCTGGAGTCTATCGCAGACTCGGAAGGATTTTTTCCTTTACGGGTGGAGGCATCGTCAGTCTCGAATAGAGTGTTTGTGGATGTTTGTTTTTCGAGCTTGTCCACCTGGGTGTTCGTAGAAGATTCAACTAGCTCTACTCGACGAACTGATGGCCTTTCATCTCGAGCTAGTTCCATTGTTTGCTCGAATTTATGCTTCTGAATGGCTGCAATCGTGTTGTCTAATCGAAGCAGCCGATCATCCACAAGGACTCGCAAATCCGTTGCATTTACGTCATGTTTACTTCGATTTCCATGCTCCCATTGCTCCCTTCGATTTACCGTAATGCCCTTACACTTGACCAAAATTAAGTAGATGGCGTCGAGAAGAAGAAATCTCTGGGTCCAACGCAGGGTATTGGTTCTCAATTCGGTAGCATCATTCAGGAACTGGTACGCACGTATGACCTTCTCAAAAGCACTCATACTCTGGTTGCTGGTAAGATAGTACTGCCATGACGCCTCCAGGGTTTTTGCCTTGCTGATTTGAAGGTGTAGCTCCGATAACGTCTCATTCATGTCCTTCTCAAGATCCTTATAGGACGTGTCGTCACCATAGAGGCCCGAGAGAAAGCGGAAGTCTTGAGAGTAGGGGCTTTCTTTCGACATATCGAACAGTTCACTTCTTACTGCAGCACAGAGCGAGTCGAATCACTGGAAGGTAGCCCACAAGATCTGAAAGAAGGAATATGACTGTATTTTATCCAAATCTTGTTAAGTTTTTTTTTCAGTTTTTACGTTATATGTTATTTAATTTCCGTAATCTAAAACTACTTGCACCATAGAGAGACCCCTTACTTAGTGCTGTTTATTATGGCGAATCTTTCTAACGTGGTGGAAGAGGGCTACCAACGCCGCTATCACTATTCTTGGTGTTAGAAGTATTAGCCATTTCGCGATTTGTAGAAGCCCAAGCAGCATGCGGAGTCCGAAGGTGGATAGTATGATGTATGTAAAGCCTAGTAGCAAGACTAGACCTACTAGCGCCGCTATAAGGGTCTTGTACCATTGTAAGAAAACATTTGCAATGTGGAACACGTCCGGCCAGGCAAAAGAAGGGTGAGATATCGGATGTCCTTCAAGCCATTGCTCGATCATTCCAGTGACCGAACCCGTGAACTTAAGAATACCCTGTAGCTCGAACTTTGTCGAAAGTTTTCCACACGATACCGAACATTCTAAGCTAACTTGAGCCTCAGAGAGACTAAATCTCAGGGTTGAGGTTCTGCCAGTGGTGTTGCACAGTACAGAGAACCCAATATCACCGCACACTATCTCGGCTTGGAGATTATCGCGAGATGAGACGCAAGATACATGTGCTACCGCTCCTTTTGCACAGTTATAGCAACCCGTTATCATGCTATCCTTAATCTTGCACATCGCATCGTCCACAATCAGTGTGGGTTCATAGTCGCCTTCGAAGTTCATCACAATTTCTGAGGTGACCATATTAGAGACGCGTGCAACTACCAGCTTCCCATGCCGCTGAAAAGTAAGCGAGTTAAAGGTGGCCGGTAGCTGTTTCTTGATATTCTTGAACCACTGCGCAACGGAAAAATCTCTACAGTCGCAGTTCATTCTTGTCTCGGCGGGCCTGCAGTTGCAGTCTTCCACAACCGCGCATGTGAGATTTTGAGCGTGCGTATAGGTTTGGCACTGCAGAGCCGGTCTTGCATTAGGGCTCCATATGGCAGTTCGGTGTTCATCCATAATGAATGGCGTATTAAGAAGGAACATTGGAGGCATAGATAGTGATGTGAGTGTGAAACTTAGAGCGTTCCACTTTTTGGAAATATTCGGCACCAAGCTTGTGGTGAGGGTCGAAATGGCCTTCCTGGTTCCGTCGGTGTGAGATATCCGTATCTTGGCCGCTTCTCTCCATCTTGCACAGTGAAAGATCTCGTAGACGACCTCACTAACAGGGACCAAGTAAATTCGATAAAGAAGGCACCCGGAACTCAAAGATAAGCAGCCACATCCTAAGCCTCCGCAGGATTCGATACAGTTGGTCTTTCCTGGAAATCTATTCCCCTCTTCTAACTCCTCTAAAAGACTTGACGTATTTATGGAACCGCACTTTTCATCTCTGCAGGAGCCCTTGTGTGCACATCGCTTGCTGTCCACAATCTTGTACATTGTATCCCTTGTAAATAGATCTGTTACCGGCTCACACAGGAGGTCCAGCGATTTCCAGGTCAGTCGAATTTCATGCATCATCGTGCCGTTATGTGATAAGCGTATACAGGCTTCTTGCTTGAAAGCACTAATCTTGAGTACTTCGGAAAGATGGACCTGGCATGGTGCGGAAGGGGTATTCGTACACATGGTGGAGTGGTGATCGAAAACATCGACCAATTGGCACCCGTATGTAACTTGCAACACCGTACCCAGGATTGCTAAAACTTCAGCAAGACGTCGACGTCGATTCACTAGGTCGTTTTTGAAGAAAAATCGTTTGATCAGGCGTGACACTCCACGTAGTGACATCCACGTGATGGCTGCTATCAAGCGAAGTGGTCGACCTATCACTAAAGGTACGTATAGGAAAACGTAGCATCCAGTTACCACGAAGTAAATTATGGCTACCATCGCAAAAATTGCGCTGATTGGCCAACATTCTGGGTTGAGAATGTTTGCACTACAAAAAGTACATTTCACTGCTTCGCAGAATGGGGCCGCCGGGCATAGTGTTTCTACAGTTGTCGTCATCTCGGCTTGTAAGAATTTCCATCGTACTTTATGGTTATGTAGGACTACATCGGGTGGAAAGTTAACGTATTCGGTTACTTGCGGAGCATCGAATGTTATGCAGTATTGATCTCCACAAATTTCGTAGGGAGTTCTATCCTCTGATTGCAGTTTTACCCCACCCTTGACGCACCGAATGTTTCGTGTAGATAGTAGAACACTAGAGTTTTCCTGAACGGCTACGGTGGTAGATATGCACAAGAACAACAGAACCGCTATAATCTGCATCAAAATGGGTAAAAGGGTAAGACTCTGCATAGGCCAAATTTGAGGGACGTTGGCCTCGTTGTAGTCGACTTTCCGCCTCTGTCGTAGGTTATATCGTGACCCTACAGTGCGATTTCCGTCTTGGTTACTTTCGGCCTTTGGTGTTGCGTTGCAGGCAGATGGGTCTCTCATGGCTTCTATAGGATCCGAGTCTTGCCTGTTCTCGACTGTCTTCTTGCGTTCTTGGGCTGGGTCGTCGTCTAGCTCAAGGGGAACTAAAAGGTTGATGGGTCGTCTAATTAGTCTATGAGATGGTAGTCGTACAATCCCTTCTCGAACTATTCCCTTCGCATTGGCCACCAGATCTTGTATGATCCCCATCTTCCAGGAATGGCGGGGGAGTGTCGCCTCGCAAATGAGCACTACCGCACCTCTGCGTGGTTCTTGAGCGGATCCCTTTCCACGGCCCACACTAAGAACATGTTTCTCGCGGAGACTTGTTAGATACTCTTTTTGCCATATTTTCCAAAACTTCTCCGATATCTTGCATGACCTTTCTAATGCCGCTATAGCTTGCCGTCTTGTCTGCAGTGAATTCAGTTGTTCAGGGGGGATATACTCAGGATCTTGATCGGAAGAGATGGAACTCATATATGGGGAGATGTAGACATCCCGTTGTAGGAAATCTATGGGTCTCAACATCCGAGTATTGTCCAAATCTGTAGACGTATAGGTAAGTGGGCGGGTATTGAGTATGGACTCAATTTCAACTATTACCGTTGAGAGCTCCTCGAACGTGACCAACGTTGTTCCAAGAGTCTTGTATAGCGAGTGTTTGACCGACTTAACCAACCTTTCATAAAACCCTCCCTGCCACGGAGCATAAGGTGTTATGTGTCGCCACTCAATCCCTCTATTACTCAACTCTCGGCTTACCATTGGGTCATTCTGAGCTGCATGGATACTGTCGTTGAGGATTGCTTCCCCAAGAGTGAAGGTAGGAGCGTTGTCGCAAATTATGATGCGTGGAATTCCTCGACGAGCAAAGAAACGTCGCATCATGTGTAAAAATGCTACGGTGGATAGATCGTAGACTACGTCTAGATGGAGGAGACGTGTGACCGCACAGGTGATGATTACGCCATAGCATTTCTCTTGCTTATCGTTCCCTTCTGCAATTGTTAGGGGCCCAAAATAGTCCAGACCAACGTGCTCGAATGGTTGTGACCTTATGACGCGCTCTTCGGGTAAGTCATCCTGGTATGGGTATTTGTAAGGGAGGTTGTTGAATTTCTGGCATTTAAGACATTTCCGGATTAATTGCTGCACCTGTGAGCGAAGGTGTGGTATCCAGAATTCTTGCCTCACTAGGCTCATCGTGTGGTTTATGCCAGGGTGACCCCGTTCATGGCATTCACGGATTATAAGTTCGGCCAGAATCGTTTTCTGCAGGATAAATACCGGGTATTTGGCATCAAATCCGAGCTGGGAGCGCCCCAACCGTCCATAACATCGTAGCAAGCCGTCGTCATCATATTGGATATTAAGGTCCTTGAGGGATCTGATAATGCTATTGGTTACCCTTAGGTTCTGATGAGCTCTAATGATGATCTTGCCTGCTTCTTGAACCTCTTCACCGGAAAGGCACGTCGAAGGAACCCAGTTAGAGTGACCCTTCAGTAGTAAAAGATTGATCCTGGTCTCCCTACGTGCATTGATACGTGATACGTTTGCCCGTATAAAACGGATGACGTGTGCTACGGTGCGTTTTGCTTGAGTCAACGTCCGAAGTTGTCCATTCTTGATTAGTTCAGGGTCATAGTCTGGCGGGCCAATCACGAGTACTTGTTTTGATGTATTTTGTGGACCCATGATCTCTTCACCCTTCTCATCTTCGGGATTTCCGAACAAATCACCTGGTGCGGGCCATTTTTTGCAATCAACCCGTAGCCAAGACGGGCCCGTCCACCAAGAGTGGTGCAAGAAATCTTCTTTCGTTATTCCCCTGGTTCCACAATCTGCCGGGTTTTCCTCTGAAGCGACATAACCAAAATGAATCGTGTATCCTTTGCCGACTAAGTGGGTCATAATCCGTCGAATTTCAGTTAATCTGTTGTAAATGAACTGCCCTAAATCACGACTTGGTTCGCTCTTCAGCCAACCCAATACAATCTTGGAATCAGAAAAAAGATAGATTTCTTGGATCTTGGTAACTGATTCTAAGTGGGAGACCACAAAATTGGTCAGTCTCATAGCTAGGGTTAGAGCGTTAAGCTCCAGTTTTGGTACAGTCGCCTTAGAATGTATGGATGGAAGTTTGGCCTTGGCCATCAGTAAATTGGCATCTCCTTGGTGACAGATGTATGTACAGGCAGTCATTCCATTAGTGCTAGCATCCGCAAATGTGGCCAAGGTAATTCTACACCCTTTAGTAACCAGTTGTCTGGGCAAGTTCTTGAGAAATCCATCCGAATTACTCCTGATCTTTTGCCATTCTTGAGTCTTGCCCTCCGGAAGGATTGTATTCCAGTCGTACTCATCCTTCCACAAACTCTGCAAAAAAACCCTGGCTGGGTGCATCATGGGTACGAACCAGCCCATCGGATCATAGATCGTTGCGATGGCACTCGTTACAGTCCTTTTTGTCACTGGTGAAAGGTTGGGAAGTGAGCAGACTGCTGTCAGGGTGTCGGATTTCGTTTCCCATCGAATTCCTAAGACTTTCGGATTTGTGCTCTCAGTCTTGTCCGAATTTGCGATGGTTTCCATAAGATGGACATCGTTGGAATTGAACTCTCTCAAGTTCATGTTCATGTCGCGGAATATTTTCTTGGCCTGATTGTAGTACTCCACTGACTCTTCGTAAGAATTGGCTGTAAATAGCAAATTGTCAACGTAGAGATTTTGCTTGATTTCTTGGGCTAGTGGTTCTTCTATGCAGTGATCAAGGTGGTAGTGCAATGTTCCTGCCAAAAGGAAGGGCGATGACTTGACTCCGAATGTTACTCTTGTGAAGCGAAGTACCATTAGATTTTCGGATGACGGGGGCTTTTTAGGGTCTTGAAGCCACATACATCTTGTTGCGTCTCGGTCGGATTCGTGAAGCCGGACTTGCAAAAATGCCTTTTCGACATCGGATACCAGCGCTATAGTGCCTACCCGGAAGCGCAGAAGGAGTCCATGTAGTGGCGGGAGTATCACTGGACCTCTATGGAGGGAATCATTCAGCGAAGGGCTTCCCTTATAATGGGCGGATGCGTCAAAAACTATCCTCATTTTCGTCGTGGATTTCTGTGGGGTTATAACTGGCTGGTGTGGAATATAATGAATTTGCGATCCTTCAGTGCGTTCCTTCTCGTCCACCAGCTCCACGATATTCTTGTCCAATTGTTCTTGGAAAATAGTGTCATACTGCTCCACCAGCCCCTTTTCCTTTAAAGCGGTCCATACGTTAGCTAATCGTTTATAAGCCAATGCTCTATTATCTGGTAAAGGTGGATAGTAGTCTTTCCATGGGAGTCGCACGTAATACCCATCTTGCCGCTTTTCTATGGTGGAGTTGAAGCTATCCCAGATTTTTCTATCCAATGCGTCTTGAGCCTCCTTTTGTGGTCCTTGGAATTCTTCAGCTCCCGTCTTGTCCATTGTCCAATAATTCTCCCATTTTTCTTTTTCTTCTTGGGAGATTTCCGACTCACTCGGGTGGGACGTAGGTGTATGGACAGTATTCATGGACCATGCCATTTCCCACTGTTCTAAGTCACAGATCTTGTTGGTTTCCAGCTCGGGTAACCTGATACGCTGTCAGTTTAGGATTATTCGTCTTCCCAGTTATTATGCACCCCAATTTGGTAGGCAGAATGTGGAGACCTGAAGGAAGCTGTACCATTGGTGCGTCATTTCTTATAAAGGACCAAAGAAGATCACACCCGAGAAGGACTACCGGGCGAACCACCTTCCTAGTCTTGTTCAGCTTTACTGGGATTTGGGAACTTTCAATGAAGTTTTCATCTTCCACTGAAAGGTACGGCTGCTCAAAAGGATGTGTGAGAAGGTCGTATGTTAGAAGTTCCAAAGAGTGTGGAGTCCCATCACTATCCCACGCTTCCATTCGCACTAACTTACACATCCGTTCCTTAGTTTCTGCTGATCCAAACGTATTGAGCCGTATCAATCGCTGTTCAAGGACCGGTAGATCCAGCTCTTGAGCTATAGCGCTACTAACGAAAGAAATCTCCGCTCCGGTGTCGAGTAAAACATCCACCTTTGTCAAAGATCTCGTTCTCGGATTAATTACCTGTCAATTCCCCAGTCGGTAAGTGGGGACGGCGAGAGAATTGTGCGCTAAGGACTGTTTGCGGAGGTAAGGGCGGTTCATCCGGTAAGGCGTCCGAATGCTGCTCTCTGACAGAATCGGCGCCGGACGTAGTGACAATATTCGAACGAATCTTGGGTGGTATACCTTTCTTGGGCACCCTTGATCGGCTTCCCTGAGATTGTCCGCCAGCAGTTCTTTCTTCTACAGATGACTGATTATGTGCTTTCGGTGGCTCACCAATATTCTTGCTAGAAAAACAACAAGATGTGTGGTGAGCCCCGTTGCATTTAAAACACATGCGTCCCTTACAGTCCTGCGCCCTATGCGCTGATGATGCACATATCGCACATAATTTGTTTTCCCGCAAGTAACGTGCTCGTTCCCGTGGAGTTGCGTACTGAGTGCAACCATTAGAGGGATGACTCCCTCTACAGTA